ATGTAGTTCTTTATGGACGTCCGGGATCTTGGAAGTATCAGCTGCCATCGGAAAGCATTTCCATCATCCGATTTTAATTTCTGGCACAAGTCACCATTTCGAATATGGTGTGAGTCCCAGAGAGCATCGTACTTTTTTGTCGTGGGACTATAGATCGAAATGTTCTGCCAGGTAGGTTTTCTGTTTGAAGAATTCATTAAGTCAATTATGTGTTTAATGTCGCCACCTTCCAACTGGTCTTTCCTGTCTGCTTTGTCACTCATGGGTCTTGATCAGCCAGTGTTGATGTTGTTATTTGTCGTGCGACCGGACTCAGCAGCTCGTGTTTCTCTTCGACCATAGTATGATATCGTCAGCTTTCTTTCTGAACCTTCTAGACAAGACATTGGCATTTCCAGGTGAGGATCCTTTCTGATGATGGGTAATTATGCCCTGAAATGCTGAAAGGAGTTTATTGTTTTTGAAATCCAAGGAAAAATTGTATTTCCTTAGAAAGTGCAATCCAAGTATGCAAGGATCTTTAATATCTGCCACATATACCATGTTATGGTAGGCGTCACTTTCAAATGTGATATTTATATTTAACTTCCCATCTGCGGTTTTATCACCAGACACAGTCTGAAGAGTAACGCAAGTTGGTGTCCAAATGAGTTTATCTTTAAGTTGCTGAGCTAAATCTTACCGAATGATAGTAATATTGGCTCCTGTGCTGATGGTCATATTGCAAGGAACTCCATCGATATACCCATTTAGGAATCGTACATTACTGTTGCCACTCACTGCAGAAATCTTGAGCGCTTTAAAATGCGGTTTTTCATTATCGTTCAAATTCCACTCTGCGAGGTAGCTACTAATTTGTTTCCTCCACCGTTGCTGGAAAATGGTCTTATTTTCCGTGCCTTGGGGTGTTCTGCAGTTTCTCCATATCTGGCCTTCACCAACGCAGTTCCAGCACTTTAGGGACAAGAAACCATCCCTAAAGTTCCAGCACTTTAGGGATGCTTTCTTGTCACTCCTGCTCCGTTTCAAGGAATTGATTTGTCTGCTTAAATTGTCTTATTTTCCGTGCTGTGGGGTGATCTGCATTTCCTTCGGAAGTGTGCCCTCAGTACCGCAATTTCAACACTTTATAGTTAGTTTCTTCTCACGCCTTTCCCGTATCAAACTATTGATTTGCCTGGATAAATAATCTAGACAAGCAGTTGCTTTAAACACTGGACTTAAGCAGCTCTGATTAGGTGATGATCTCTATGAGTTGCTTGCTGGGGTTCCTCAGATTTCATGGCGTACCCTAGAGCAGTGTTTCTCAACCGCTGGTCCGCAAGAAATATTTGCCAGTCCTCAAAATATCCTGCTATCTGTCCAAAACCAAACTGTCATCGGCCGACAACTGACATTACAACAGCACCTACATTACAATAACAATAGTTTACTAGTTTAGAAAGTAATATGATCAATGACAAAAAATATAACAAACTGGCAACTATGTACCTAATCGCCTTTCATAAATTGCCGTGCCGTACACTTAGTACACCAGTTAGTGTGCCCCTGTCTGCTTTGAGTATCACTGATTACTTGAACGCTGAATATCTATCCTAGTGTTTAAAGCGTCTTAGGTTAGGTTTCACTTTTTATCTTGCTTACATTCTTCTGCACGCTTGGACAACTGAAAACTGTACATCAGCGTAAGTTTTTAAAAAAACCACTGAATTTAATACTGTGCTATAACTACTATTTCTTTAAGTTTAGATAGATTAAAAATCAATAACCAGGATGAGTAAGAAGGAAACGAAAGGCCCATTACTAAATTTTGTGCAAATAAAGAATTCTCCGAAACCAGGTACGTCGTCCACCCCTTCAAATACAGATGAAAGTGATTATAGTCCACAATCTACCGAAAAAGCTTTATAAGGCACTATATCACATTATTTGAAACATGGTTTTGTCCTTTGGCCACAATCAGAAGAAAATTGTCCAAAACCTGAATGTGTTGTTTGTAGAGATGTTCTTTCCAACGAAAGCATTATTATAAATTCCGATTATTTCAATTGTTGCCACTTGAGAATGTGAAGAGGTTGACAAGTGGCGTCTCAAGTATGGTAGATAAGGGATCCGTCACTGATCCGTTTTTATATGCAAGGATTTTTGGGATTATTTTTTTGTAATACAGTCAAAAGTCTTTAATCCGGACGTCCTTAATCCGGAATGATCTGTAATCAGGACTTAAAAGCAACAAACTTTCTGCGCATGCGCAGAATACCTTTACGCGTAATACGTTTACGCATGCTCGTTTAATGTATAACGGACGGTATAAGCTGAGCTAAAATTATCTAAATATCTATTTCAGTTAATGTTGCAGATTACGTTGTTCCTTAATCTTCGAATTGGATCTGGCTTATTATTTTTTGCAGACTGTTAGAGCAATTTTATGAAAGTAGGCTTGAACTTTCGATTATGTCAAAAAGAATTTCAAATTCTGGAAGTAACTTTTAAGCTTAAAGTATTGTTCCAAAAATTTCCAAATCTGGTAAGGCATTTAAAAGTAAACTGATTTATCTTGTGTCCTTAGGTTTAATATTTTTCAAATTTTTAACTACAGTTAGATAAATCTTTAAATTTAATTTATTGTAGAAATCCTTTTTAGCTTTGTCTTTCACCTCTTTTATCATGTCAGCAATAGATTTAATACATGAATCATGATTTTTAGGTACTATGCTGCATAATAGCTTTCAGTTGCATTTTTGTCGTCTTATGTCATCATCCAAAGATTTTTTCATCTTATTTCATCGTCCAAAGAAAATCTTCACTCATGGTATCACCTGCTGCCATTTCAATTCATGATCTTCAAAATAAATTATTCACATACCTGCAGAATTGATTTTTGTTAATTTTAAATAAAAAACATAAGTCAACATAACTAATTATCAGGGAACTCATATAAGTCTCCCAATTCTTAATATATTGCAAGTAAACATTGATGAATGCTTCAAATCATTAACAAATTTCATATGCATGCTGTGAATATAAGAGATCTAAAGTCATTTGAAGTAATCACCAAAATCAAGGCTTTAAAATGCGAAGATGAAAAATTCTCAATGACTTAAAATAGTTCAACTAAAACTGCTTCCAGTGTTGGCTGCATTTTTGTATAGGAATAGAATTGAAAGGAAGAGCCATATTGAGATACTGCTAAATTTCTGAAATTTCTACAATTTACTTTGGAAAAAAGCTGTACAGATAAAATGTTTTTACGATATAACACAGATAGTTATGTACACACATATAAAAATATTTAGAATATTATGGTAATTTTATTGAGTCATTTTAAAAGTATTATGAATGCTGTACACTAATATCATTACAATTTTCATCACCAACATTTGATGATAAGTTTTGTTTGAGAACATACAAATGTAATTCAGCAGGACATCCCAGGACCCCTGAGCCTTCAGGCCCCTATGCGACGGCATTCCTTGCGTACCCATATTTACACCACTGCTCCCAACAACAAAAAGTGTTGCGTGCATATGGATTTGTAATAAATTGAATGGACAAGTCCGATAAAAGGTTAATCAAATTTATCCTTTTTCAAAAGAAATATAACAGAATGCTGGAATTATCCTCAGAGATAAAAAAACAGGTGTTCACAAAAAAAAAAAAAAAAAACCATAATCCAAAAATTTTTTTTTTTTTTTTTTTTGTTTATTTGTTTTTTTTTTTTTTGTTTGTTTTTTTTTTTGTTGGTTTTGTTTTTTTGTGTTTTTTTTGTTTGGGTTTTTGCGGTTTTGTTTTTTGTTTTTTTTTTTGTTTTAGTAGGAGCCATTTGATTGAGTTGTTTTTGGGTTGTGGTTTTTTTTTGTTGTTTTTTAGCCGTTTTGTTTTTAGAATTTTTGTTTTTTTACTTTTTTTCCCCCCACTGTTTATTTATTTAAAGCTTTCACAGATTTTATCTTTTTTTTTTTACAAAATTGTTTGTTTAGGTGGTAAATTTCTTTCTTTCATGTTCCGTATTTATTATTTATTGTAAAGTTATTATAATTATTTTATAAGAATTATTTCTTAAATTTTTTATACACAATTTTTAGTACTATGTTAATTTGATATTTTATAGTTTATATTAAAATTATAATCAGTTTAATATCATTTTATTTTTTATTTAACTCTTGTTCCCCTGAGTGGTCTTTTTAATGGCATCAATTTCGAAGATTTTTGTGAGCAGTTAAAGAGAAATTCTCTCTCATCTCTCTCTCTCACCGAAATTCCAATTCAATTTGTTTTTTGTTCATCTTATGGGGTCAATCCTTCGGTTTTTATTTGGAATTTTTCATTAGCTATGGACTTTACAAGTATTTAATTTTTTTGTGATGATAAAAGTACTTTTTTTCCTCTCCCCCCCTTCCGTTTTTATTGTAACTGAATAGCAATTTCATAGAAATTTTATAAATAAATCGCATCCTCGAAAATTTTAAACTTTTAAAACAATAAAAAAGCATTTATACCTTAGGAGTTTCAATTTAACTCATTTTACCCTGACGCTTGATGGCTTAATTATTCAGCAGAGAGCAGCAAAAGAGAATTTCTCTCTCACCGAAATTTCATTTTCCACCCCTCATAATTCTTTCGCCCTGGATTTTCATAGCTATACTTTATATTTAATTTGTGATGATAAAAGAACTGCCCTTCCCCCTTCTTTTATGTATTGAATATAGAAATTTATTTTAACAATAAAATATAAAAAAATAGTAATTTATCTTTTACAATTTAAAAATTTATTTCAATAAATAATTAATTATTTATATTATAATTATTGATTAATAACAATGATAAAATTATTTGATAGACATTTCTTGTTCCTCTTTGCTGGCAGTCTTCCATAGGGCTCCGGCACTTCTAATCTTAGAAATTAAACCCTGATTTTGTGAAGATATATCACAAGATTTATTACTGAAAATTTATAATATAATGTGCACTGAAAGCAGACATTTTTTTCTTTTTTGCAGACCAGTTTTTCAGTTGCATACGAGAGCTACAGAAGAAGAATTTTATAAAAGGGCTGTAGATTTCTACAACATCAATAGCTCTGCTTTTGTCTATTCAGTGCCACATGATGCTGGTGAGACTCAAATCATTAAACAACTTTATGTAATTTTTCTTTAGTTTTAATCACAGTAATAAAGTTTACTAATATGTGCTGCAATAATATTAATCTTTCAATGCAGGTAGTCGTAAAAATAGCGTGGTAACTGGGAGTCGAGCCATATTTCTCGGAACTGGAAAGAAGAAAGCCCCTGCTGCTGTAGTTGGATTACAGTTTCAACATTCAATATTTGCTGATTCATTTTTAAATACGACATCCAAAGTATGATCAAATCTAAAAGCTGTTAATCTGTTTCTTACTTTTAAAAAAAGAGAAAAGTATTTAATGGAATAAACTCTTTTCTGCTTATAAATTTTATTTTAAATTATATATTAATGTTAAAATAAATTTAATTCCTATAGATGTTATATATGTAACAAATTTGCTATATTATTTGTCTACTTGACTGAGATAGTTCTATTGACATTGAATATAATTTAGTTTATAACATTGAATTTATATGTAAATGGCCCCAGCTGTAAATGTATAAATTATGCAAAAACACTATAACTGTTAATAGATCCGTAATTGTATTTCTATAATATTTCAAAAGCGATCTTTAACCTGAAATATGGAAATAACCTTTACTACATTTTAATGCAGTTATAGGAGCATTTTAACTTTTCTATCTGATTTAAAATTATGAATTAAAAAATTCCAAATTAACTCAAGATTATCAGGTGTGCTAGACTAATGTTTAAAAAAAAAAAAAAAAACGTTATATTTTTATTTTTTATTTATTTATTATTTATTTTTTCTCTATTTTTCATATACAGTACAAAGTTTGAGATTTGGACTCATTGGCACTTCGTTGATTCCAAATTTCTTAATTTTCTGGATTTTAGTTCATCAATTTGCCGTCGAGACGGTATAGTGGTAAGCTTACTGCGGTATCAAAGGGCCCGGGTTTGAATCCCTTCATAGAAGGCAATGGTGGCTGCCTATTAGAAGGTGCCTCCCAATTAAATGGTTACCACTTTTGATCTTAAGGAGTGGTCAGTGTTGAATGGGCAAGTGCCCACCATTGGACTAAAAAATCATCATTTAAATCTAGTAAGATAACATATAGAAATTTTAAAATTAAAAATGTGAAACAATAAAGCGTTTATGATAAGGGAATCAAACTTTACCAAAAGAGCTCAGTGTTTACTTGTTTGCTTTATTAAACATTTATTTCCATATAAGTTTAATTACTTTATATACTTTATATAATTTCTTGTTCAGCTACAAAGCTTTTTTTTTTTTTTTTTTTTTTTTTTTTTTTTCCTGTCCTGTCATTGCCAAATCAAAAATTTTCTCTAAATTCTCAACTGAATTTTTTTTCCATCTCAGTAATATCTTTGTCACTTCCTTCACTGTTGATAGTATATTTTCATATTTAGAACCGTACGATAGATCTTGCTCCTTTTAGCATATGCTTAGCTAGTATCTGCTATACGCTGTGGCCAATGTACACTGCTGGCCACCCAAATTGACACACCGAGAAAGACAAGAGATATCACAACAAAATTTATTTAGTAGATAGCATGTTGACCAAGTATCAAATGATTAAATTTATAGACTTCTTTGAAGTGTGGTTCCTTCCAGAATCAGTCGCCAGAGTAGCTGCCATTGTTGGAGATCACCGCTGTCACATGTCTCAGCATTGATTCAAAGAGACTTTGGATGTGTTCTTGGAGTACAGCAGACCAAGCAGCTTCCACACATTGCCAAAGTTGATCTGGTGTGGCAGCTTGGGATGTAATCTGGGTCAATCGTTCAGCAACCATGGACCACATGTTTTCTATCGGCGAAGGATTCGGAGAGCGTGCCGGCCAGGGAAGCAATTCAATCTGGCGATTGATGAAGAACCCTTGGACAATGTGTGCCACATGTGGTCACACATTATCCTGTTGAAATATGGCTGTGGGCAAGCCCTGAAGGTAAGGAAGGGCAACTGGCTCCAACACCTCGGAGATGTAGCACTGGCTGTTTAAAGTACCGGCAATGCGTACTAGAGAAATGCGAGAGGGATATCCAATATCGCCCCATACCATAATACCGGTGCAGGACCAGTGTGGCGGTGCATAACGCAACTGTTCAGCATCCTCTCTCCACAGTGTCTCCAGACTCAAATCTGACCATCGTGGTATTGCAGACAGAAGCGTGGTTCATCAGTAAAGACAATTTCATTCCATTCTGCCGTCGACATCCTTCTTTCATTGCACCATTGGCGGTGGAGACATCTGTGGTTCTGCGTCAAGGGTAGAAGAAGCAATCGACGTCTTGCTGACAGACTGCTCTGCTGTAAACACCATCGAATGGTACGCTCAGACACTGGATGATGCATTACAGACTGAATGTGCTGTGCTATGGTTCGTGATGTGACTGAGCGATCAGTCACTGCCATGTGCACAATGTTCCTGTCATCACGTGAAATGGTGTACTGAGGTGGATGCGATCGAATACATAAGTCCGTCGTACCCTCTTGTATCAAACGGTCATATATCCGCATTACAGTTGTTTGATTTCTTCTAAAACAACTGCCGATTTCCCTGAAAGATAATCCACACTCTCGGTAGGCCACTGTCCTTCCTCTGTTGAACTCGGATACTTGATCGAACGATGATCGCTGTTTACTGTGAGGCATAATTGATCTTCTTTTTTTTTTTTTTTTTTTTAACACAAGAGAAACACAATTGCCGAACTTGAAATCATCGAAAACTCCAAGCCTTAAATAACGCTTTGAAATGGCACCACAGGCAACGCTTTGAAGTGGCACCACAGGCGCGAGTGATTGCACTGAAATTCTAATCATTTGCATATCTCACCTCCGCTAATGCATGTGTAAATTTCATGTTATTTGTATGCTTCCTTCAGGGTGTTGCATTTACAGTGACCAGCAGTGTGTTATGAGACTCATGACTAAAGACATATTGTACCACTAAAGTTTGCCTTGCTTCCATACTGTTCTACAGAAGTTCAGCCTGAATTACATTAATTATTTATTATAGTTATGTTTATTTCCTGCATATGATTAAGGTTTATATAAATCCTGAATAAATAAATTCTAACATATACTTAAGGCTTATATCAATAACAAGTCAGTTATCCTTAATTCAAACAGTGCTAAATATAATTGTTTGAACTATGAATATCTTTTACAAGTCTCTCTTTTGCATGTGGAAAGAAATTTCTGTTAAATTTCTCATCATCACTACACTCAACATTTTGCAGTGAAGTTAACTGAATTGTCTGCAAGCATAATGTCAACATAAAAGTTTACTATGCTGTTTTGTGTTCAATTACTAATATTAAAAAAAAAAAAAAAAAGTTTTATACAACACTCTGTGATGCATTATGCATTTCTCAAGCTGCTGTGAGTTGATAGTCATGTGATGAAAGCAAAAAATGTGAAAAATGACTGCCAGGTAGATGTCAGGGATAAAACTTGTTCAGAGAGTCTGAAACCAGTCATGAATGTTGGTAAAATGGTTTGGTTTGAGATATATGGCAAGCAGCAAAGTGGTTAGGGAGCCAACAAATTATAGATTGTATAGATGTAAACTACTCAATGATTGTTTCATTTAGCATGAAGGTGTTTTTAGTGCTGAACTTAAATTAAAAATTGGTACTTTACACGTACTTTATTATGAAAGAATGTTTACAGCATGTGTTTCAAGCATTAAGCATAAACTAAAGCAAGACACTACTTTTGGAATCTAATTGTTTCTCCTTTTCTCAAAAAAAAAAAAAAAAGAAAAGAAAAGAAAAAGAAAAGAAAATCAGGTATTCAGATATTAGATTTTCCAAATTTTATTTCCATGTCTTCCCCTCCACCCAGTCATTAGCAAAATAATAACATTTTAATTGGCATTACTTCCTGATTATTTGTGCCCCTTTCCAAAAATTTTCCTATCGCTAGTGACTAATTTTTAGCTAAGCTAAGATCCAAAAATTCAGTAGCCATTTTCAAGAATAGCAGCACACTAAAGATTACATGGAACAGCAACCAATTAGCAAAATCAAAAATGCGAGAAACATCCATAATAAATCACTTTTATTAACACACACTTTTGTGTTTTGAGTACACAGCCACCTGTTTTACCTTCAAAAAACGTCAGAGAACTGCGTAAACTCAACATTGTGTATGAAATGCCACTCTGCACACTGTCATTCTCCCTATCCACACAGCAATCTGTTTTTGCATAAAAATCAGATAACTCATGAAATGGGCAGTGCACATGCTTTTGTTTTTCGTGATTTGGTTCTGCTTTAGAAAAAATTAGACTTATAAAAATTTGGCATCAGCCCAGAAATTTTGATCCATAAAGTTTGATTGCTTACAAAGTACAGCTTAATGGAATTTGCCTAAGAGCATTTCCACTCTGTGCTGTTAGGCAAAATGCCTTGTTTCTCAAAAAAATGCAGTGCTTTCTTTTTCATCAAATGACAAACTCTATAGTCTTATTATGATTCCTTACAAGTAAAAAAAAAATGCACTCAGTACAACAAAAACAAATGCTAGTGACCGTGAATTAAAAGTGAAATCACCACATTTCTGCTGTGTGTGTACGTACATCAGTTGTGATATAAATACTGTAATTTAGGGTAGGTAAGCCAACCTGGCATATATGCAGCACACATGATAATTGACTGAAAAAAATAGAAGGTAATCGAATAAGCCGCACTGCCGTATATGCCGCAGTAATGCATTCCGAAACATGGCACTTAATATTCATTTATTCAGTAATTCCCTGCCATATTGGTGTAATCATCATCAATAGCATTTTATAACATTTACAACATAAATATAATCAGTATTATATAAATAAATAAAGAAGAAACATCTTACCTCGAACTTGCCGAAAACGAACTCTGATGATTTCTAATATATTGTTTTTACGGTTTCGGTAAGCCTTCGTTTATCAGCATAAATTACCGCATTATGAAAAAGAATATGTAAATTAGATAAACAAACAGAATTTTCTAATGAAATTAAACTACATTTATTTATACAAAATCTTCAAAATCTGACTCGTCGAGGTCAAATTTAAATAAATTTAACAAATGACCATCAAGGTCAGTTTCTTCATTCTATTCTAAATCACTTCTTTCGACATCACTATCTTCACTTTCATTTTCTTTTTCAATGATTTCCGATTTAATGAAAGCCCGATATGATCATATCAGCTCAGACTGATTGTCATGCTTTATCGACCCATAAGGCAGCCCTGTATGTA